GAGTTATATAGAAGAAAAATAATTATATATATATATATATATATATAAAACTTATCTATACAAGTTTGTGAAATCTTATGTGACAACTGCCTTCTGTGACAACTAGCCCCAATCTCTCCTATTTGCGTGGCGATCACTGAGCAGAACTAAGTTGTTTCAGATACAAGTAATTATACACGCAAATATATATATATATAAAACTTATCTATACAAGTTTGTGAAATCTTATGTGACAACTGCCTTCTGTGACAACTAGCCCCAATCTCTCCTATTTGCGTGGCGATCACTGAGCAGAACTAAGTTGTTTCAGATACAAGTAATTTCAGATACACGCAACATCTAATAAGCATTGCATATTTCTCAAGCATACAGAACATGTTTTTCAAGGTCAGAAAATTACCAGTGCCAAAGGCAGCTTAAGGCAGTGCTGCAGCCGCTGTAAGTTAATTTCATTCATATCACACAGAGTAATAATCCACCTTGTTTCAACTCGGTGCACTCTTGTGAAAGAACAATATCAGGACGTGACAATATTTCAGGCGGCTTATGCAGATCCCCGGTCATTAATTTATCATGCTCTTACCGTGTTTGGCTATGCAGGAGTGTCTGTTCGGCTGCAGGCTGTACCCATCTGTACAGCTGCAGCGATATGACCCATAGGTGTTCATGCAGGTCTGGCTGCATGTCCCGTACATGGTGCATTCATCATGATCTGTACACAGAGGAAGAGTCACTTATGACAAATTAGGTGTGCTCAAACATGACCCAAATACATAAAATCCACTTAATGTGGCCTCTCGGTGGCTTCTCTCTATGCCACCACGTATCTCCGGGCAAGTCCTGCCTTGCACCAGTCTCTAGAGGTTTGCCTGTTTAAGCTGTACTGAAGTGTAATGTTCCACTGGTGATTTACTGATTTGTCTTGAATGTCCGAAGGAACCTTCTATGATCAGGCTACAAAATAAAGCCTAAAAAGTTTTTTCTTCCTCCAACAAATTAAAAAATGGCGTGGGGTGGGGGGGTTTAATAACCTTAAAAAATACAAACAAAAATAAAAAATAAATAAAAAAACATTTTCTATGAGGTTTTTGTTTTTTTTAGGATTTTGAGACCTTAAATAAATAAATATAAACTATTTCACACAAAACTATAACAAAATAAGTATGCATCTACTTTTTTAAGACCTTAAAATCTCTCTTAGACATTAAAACATATCTAATATAATTCTAATATATTGTGTAGAGTCTGGAGCAGTATCAGGGTTGAAACATTTAAAAAATAAATAAATAAGTAAGTAAGTAAGTAAATAAATATAATTGTTATGCCATATCCGCATCTAAGGCTTGATTGGTGAAAATTCAAGAATAATATTAAAATTAGTCTAAATAACAATACTTCAATGAATTGTACTTATTTATTTTTTTTACTGTATTGCATATCTTACTAACAAACAAACAAAACTAACTAACTAACTAACTAACTAACTAACTAACTAACTAACTAACTAACTAAATAAATAAATAAATAAATAAATAAATAATATATGGTAATTGTTTCAATCCAAATGCTCGGTTGAGACTGTTGGGTTAGAAAGCTGACACAATTTGGGTTGATATCAGTAATAAGTAACCCGACAGTGCTGGGTTAAGTATGTAGAGATCGTGAAAAAGAGCATGCAGCAAGTCTCGTGAGTTCAAACGCGAACAGATGTGTGTGCGACGAAATCTGTGTCTACGATGCTTAAGATGGGAATATGTGTCGAAAACACAAGAAAACTAATCGAAGCGAAGAGGAGAGAGATTTTTGAAACTGACTGGAATGTGTTCTCTTAAAACTGGAGGGTTTTGTCTGAGTATGTTCTCACAACATTGAGCGGTGACTGATGAGCGGAAAAGCCGGGAACTGAACTAGTCAAAATGGTGCTTGAGGACGTGGATCAAAACGGTAAAATCAAAGGCAGTAAAATCCTGTCACTTCGCTATAATACACAGTTTAATCTTGACTTTCAGTGTTTATTACTGTGTGTTAATTGGCGTGATGACGCTTCATCAGTGGTTGAAAAATATGAATAAATTGAACAAAATCTTAAATTTGTTCTTAAGCTTTCCAAAAGAATTTGGTTTAACTGTATAAGCTGAATAAGTACGGAGTTGCTTTGCTTTTTTTACAGCCTGCAACTGTTGTATTTACACTGTAACTACATGGAACAAGGGAGGAACAAGCACCACTTTAAATGACAGCTCACAAATATTGTATTTACCCTGTAACTACATGGAACAAGGGAGGAACAAGTTGGACTTAAACACAGAACAAGTGTATATTTGCACAGTAATTACAGAGAAAAATATTGCACTAGTTTTAATTTAATTGTTTGATGGCCAAATTAAACCCTCCACTTTTTTTTTTTGCTATAAAAACATCACAGTATTCATCCACTGAAATACAAATGTTGTATTGTGTATTGTTTCTGCGAACAGCTGGAAAGCGGTAAACTTGTTTTAAGCTACATTGAACCTTGATGGTATATCATGCAAAGTTATTTGGTGATAGTGGTGTTGAGAAGTTGCTGGTGTGACTCAGCTGAGATCGACGAATAAGCTTTCATAAGGTAAGTAGACTCGTGAATTATAAATCATAGCAGAAACTCATTAACTCATTTCACTGGATGTCCAGTTTTGTTGATCAGTAATCTCCATCATATATCCTTTAATAATAGATTGGTTAAAAAAATACCTAGGCCTATAATAAAATAGGTCTACCAATATAAAATTATCGTCTTTCTAAATCACTGCCAAACATAAGATTGTTGTTTAGGCCATACATACCACGTAAAATTAGAATAGGTACCCCTTAGTTTCAAAATAGCTACAGTATAAATGATTTGTAATTGTACAGGTTGTTACCCCTTTATTCCCCAAATGTCGCATATTATTCCCTTATACCTACACGGAGGTACTGAATAGGTACACTATAATTACACACAAAAAAAAAGTTACGCAGTAACTTCAGTTTACTTACGCGGTTCTTTGCAGGTTGCATATCTGGTTGTTACCCCCTTATTACCCAAACATAACACATTGTTCCCGTATACCTACACGTACGTTCTTTATAGGTACACTATAATTACAGAAACGTACACTGTAAATTCAGTATACTTACGTAGTTCTTTGCAGGTTGTAATCTAAAGCGTTAGCCCCCCAAAAAAAAAAAATATATATATAGTATTTGTGCTGTTAATGCTTAAAAAGGCAAGAGACCTCATTGTGTATGGTATTCCCTGACTGGAACAGATTCATCACTGTAAAGAGACAAATCTATCCCGTTTACAACTTCCTGTTTGAGCCTGATTTCTGCTACTGAGACAATTATTCATAACGTGGCGATGGATCAGCTATATTTCACCATCATGTACAACAACCAGCCTCGATATCATACTCAGAGGGTCTCATTTAGGCCAAACCAGGCCGAGAAGTCACTTTGACCTCTCTGGAGTCAATGCCACGTGTCAAATAAAGCAGGACAGAGGTGTGAAAAGACACCCTAGGGACGGACAGCCACCCCTCTCCCCCCTCATCGCCCAAAGCCCATCATTCGTCTGAGATGCCTGGTGTGACCCTGAGAGCACCTACCTCTGCAGCTACGCCCATCCTCTCCCACCTCGAATCCATCCGCACAGAAGCAGAATGTGCCATTTCTGGTCATGATGCATCCATAGCGGCAATGCAGCTCGTGACAGGCTGACAGGAGTTCTGTGGGAGGAGAGAGAGGGAGAGAAAGAGTTTGAGAGAGAGGGAAAAACATGTAAATTGCTTTTTGATTTCACTCCCTCTAAAAGCCCTTCCTTGCCATCAGCGCAAGGATGTGCCAGCGCGTACTGACAGTTGTGAGCCAGAGGCGGGGATCAATAGCACTCCGTGAAGGTGGAATCAGAGAGGTGCTCCACACAGGGAAAAATAGATATAATTAGAAGAAATACCTAACCTTTCAGCTGAAAATTCTATGAGGAAAGAAAAAGGTTTTGTTTGGAGACTTGCAGAAGCTTTTAGCAATTCTTCTTGGTCTTCGGTCCTCAAAATTCAATCAACCTGCCACAAACGAATTGTGCACAACTGCTATTAGGTTTTTCATTAATAGTTTCCACAGTGAACCTTTGCTGAACACCATATTTAGCAAGCGTAAAATGGAAGTGGCTGCTTGTGTCCTGATTGTTTGGCATCCTGTATGAAACATTCTGATTGGTATCCAATGCCTTTTTCTTATAACTGAATATGAATCTCCCATTACTATTGGCAAAAACACCATTGAGGAACAAAAATACAGTTATGGTTGCATAATGTACCACATGCAGAAAGGTTCATGATCCCGATGAACTACATCTCTTAGGGGAAGAAAAAAAATAGTCTGAAGGCTATTTTATTGTCCAGTTGCAAGAAGTACAGAAAACAAATGCAAAACACGATCTCTAAACAATGACACAGGCAGTCTAACCCATAAAGACCCTAAAGACCATAAAAACCACTGATATTGATTTTTTTCTCCTTAAATATAATGATATTTTTGCATTTTGTGTTTTAGGGTGAATTTAACAAGTTTTGGAAGTTTTTACAAGTTTAAGTAAGTAAATAAATAAATAGTTAATTAATTAAAGGTGCACTAAGCGATTTTTGCCAAACGATGTTGATATTTGAAAGCACCAAAACAGACAAGCCCATACCCCGACAGGACCTCACCCTTATTTTGAAATCTCCGCCTCACTCGTACATAGACAACCATGGCAACAAGGTTCGCGGAAACAAGCGAAGATGACACACAAGCATATTCAAACAAAAGCCAACACGGTTAAGTTGTGTGAAACGAAGCAAAATACACGTTACTCACCTATCAAGAAGAAACAGCGCAACCTTGGCGTCCGATTCCAGGCCTTCCCACTCTTTGAGTTCTCTCAACCGCTGGAAAGCTGCTCCAATATTTACGCGGGTCCTACCTCTTGCCTGATTGTAACCCTTCCTTTTAATGTTTTGTTTGTCTGATATTTTCCTCTTTTTTTATCTGCCATCTCTCTCTATCTATAGTCGATCTGCTAATATCCGTCCTGTACACTCAAATTGAGCGCTCTGTTCTTGCTATCATTACAAGACACGCCCCCCTACTGCTGATTGGCTACACGTGTGTTGTGGGACTCGGTCCGACGCTGTGGTCAAAAGCGTTTTTCAAAAATCACTTAGTGCACCTTTAAGAAGCCTTCACTAGAAGCTAGGAGGAAGAAATTTGGATATGTTCATCTCAGGACAGTTTCATGATCCTCAAATATTCCTACACCTCACTGACCTCTGCGTGAAGCTACACTGATCTAAAGACAAAAGCCTTCCCAGTAAGCTAGAAGACAGAACAGAACGCCCCCTCTTATACTCTATAAAGTTTTATTCGATTTTGTGTAAAAAAAATAAAATAAATAAAAATAAATACATAATTTGGAATTATTTTTTCCATGATTTACTGCATTGGCTCTACTGTGCAAATTGAGTTGACCAATGAGACCCAGTGAACATTCCAGCAAGCTTCAGTAAAAAAACAAAGTTCATATTGTTTTTGAATATTTCCATTTTTCTATCACTAAACAAGAGAACTGTGAAAATCAGAAAAAAACTGAAGTTTTAACCCATAATTAGTGAAACATTGTATTATTTAATTGCTTTAAACATTCAATTGCATTCATGCAATTAGTGCATGTCTGAAAGCCAAGAGGCAGATGTCTTCAAAAAGACAGAACTGTAAAGAAAACAGATCTACAACTGAGCATACAGTCATATTGCAAAAATGTCACTGTAAGCTATAAAAACCAAATCACAAAACAAAATTTCTATCATTTGGATTGAAAATAGAGACCCAAAATCACTTTAATAATACTTTTTGAAAAACTCTTAAGTTATTTAAGTGTACATTAAAGTTTATTTATCTGATCTGAACTCTCACAATAGATCCTTTAAGGCAAACAGCAAAAATGCATTGTATTTTGTGTGTGGAATATCTGACAAAATGAACATAACATGACAATTTTCTACTAAGACGACCCTAAAATTCACTTTCGAGTTGTTTTTTTGCCTGCCTTGCGTGCTGTGCCGCCTGTCATTCTCTCTGGAAGGTCTCAGTGGAATACTAGTGCAACAACCTAAAATTATTTTCATACAGTGCAAGCAACAAAGGCCACATCAGCACGTCTCTGAATCCCTCTGTCTGCCTGTCACATATTAAATCATCTGGCAGTTCCTGAGAAAGGCAACAGACCCAACCGGCTATTGTTCACTGCACTCTTCAGACGTTTGTGGGTGTGGATTCAGCTGCATAATTACAATTACTACAAAGACAACTGATTTAACAGCTTCACAAAAACACATGTGAATAAGACACTATTTCGATCTGAAATGATGAGCTCTCACAAAGAGGAGCTTTCCTTCAGCTATTACAAGACATGCGATTGCTAAACATTCATTACTGACAAAGGAATGTATGCAAATCTGTTCTTTGATTTCTTACATCTAGTGTCTGATTACCATCATTAGCAGAGCATTAATTCATAGAACCAAGCCATATATCTGTTTATATATTATTCATCGTATCAAACCAAAACTATTTCTGTACATTTTCTTTTTCTGCCCTGTGCAACCTATAATACTGATTTTATACATCAAATCTGCATATATTAAGAGACTACTATTATTACTACTACTAACAAAATATGTATAAAATTAACATCTTTGACACTCTTGACTCTTGAGTTTATTACAAAACAAAATAAAAAATAAAATGTATTATTAATCAGTAAAAATATGACTACTACTAGTACTACTACTAATAATAATAATACTAATACAATATTTATAAAATAACATCTATTGATATTCTTCATTTTAAAAATAAAATAAAATAAAATAGCCTAAGTGCTTTCCAGTTATGTGTGCAATATAAATCAGGCACTCAGTGAACAAACTGCAGATGGTCTGTGAGAATGCCATCTAAGGCTGAGACTCGTAGCTGGCATGCTAAAGCAGGTATGAAGGATTTATGGATTCATAACAAGTTTCATGACATGTCTTAGCAGCAACACCAGTGACATGCTTAGATGGAACTACTTTTGCTACAGAAATTGCAAATACAGGCTGAATCATAATGGTCAACAAAGATTTAGGGAGTATCTTAAAAATATAAAAGGATATAATTTTCATATAGAAAACATTACAAGTAACATTCCAACAACCCAAACCTTTTCTGAGCATCAAGAGAAGTGATTAGTAATTGCATTGCATCTTGTCAGAAATTAAGTAAATGTTTACCTGTGGCTAAGTACGTAATTGCTGACTAGCATAGTAGATTTTTTTTTCAATGGTTAATCAACACCATTCACTGCAAATGTGTGCATGTAACAAGTTAACAATTCTTAGAAGGCAAGGCATAGATTTTAAAAGTGCTGTAAACTTATTTTTTATTTTAATTTTATAAAATGTCCCTATACCTGACAGATATCACTGAAATAGGTGTCCTGAGAAATCACACCCATCGCCGTGACAGTCCTCGGCTCTGTAAACAACAAAACTGTCAGGAGAGAGGTAGATGCATTTTTAGCCAATCAGAAATGCTCTCTGTCTGTAATTCTGGACATTCAGGTTATTGACATGGGGTTGGCAGACTGATTGGAGGTTGGGGTTTTGTAGAAACAGCATGTGGTTGAACTAAAATCGCCTACAGCTCATTTAGGACCTGTTGTGTTTTGATAGACCAGAAAAAAAGAGCACTAGTTTAAGCTCTGATCTTGCTATTCATACAGGTATGCCATAACTCTGAGCAGCTGCATTCATTAACTTTTTATTGGATGCAACCTGCTTTGTGGAGACAAAAGGCCAAGCAAAGGAATGAGATGGTAGGCTGACAGATACCTAGGACTAATCCTTATATCTGCTTTCAAACATCAGCACGCTCTCATGACCCGACACGTAGCCAGACAGACGGATATTCACAACGTCTTCCGCTGATGCTGAAAATTTCATGGCTTTACTAGGCAAAGTTACAGAAAAGTATACAGAAGTCATATCAGAGAATGCTAAACATTAAAACAGAATCATGTGACACAAGTACAACACATCTTTAAAGGGACAGTCCACCAAAAAATCTATTTTTGAAAGTTTTGTGAGAATATATTCTTAAAAACATTTTTTTTTTCTTAAGAAGAACATTATTTATTATCTGTATTGTATTATCTGATTGTAGGCCAGTTTTTTGGTAAATATTTGCATATCAGTTTCATGAAAAACGCCAGAAAGGTCATCTGTTGCACTGTCTGAAAACCGTAATAATCATCATAAGCATGCACACTGTTTTTGTTGTGACTGACTTGCCGTGAGTTCAGGACTTGTTGTTGTTGTGTTTTTTAATGCAGCGTTTATTTTAAATAGTTATTTTTAAAGAGACATCTCAAGGTGGAGCGGTCTGTTGCATTCATTTGTATTCTACAAATGTTGCATTCTGTTTCATTCATTCTGTCTTTCTTGCGCTTTTTTTTTCTAGAATAAATGTGTCCTGTATCACAGTGTGTGTGTTGCTAGAGAGAACGTGTCCTGGTTATGGGTGCTCTCATATGCCCTGGATGCTGCTGAAAATTTGAAATTACAATTTCTTAAATTAAAAATTAGGTCCCTATTGGATTTTTCTATATAGCTAGTGTTAGCAAGATAGCGCCGACGCTGATGGCTGCCTCCGTGGCGTGCTCCGCAGTTGTTTTTATGTTTTTGTTAGTTTGTCCTGTCTTTAGTTATATCCCTGCAATCAGTTTCACCAGAGACGAATTGCTGGACATTCGGCAGTACACACCACCCGATATTTCACTGGTTTTCGACTATTCTGATGTTCTGCTGGACATTGTAGTCGGGGGAGCTGCGGCGCTGATCAAGTGCTTCAGGACGCGCAGACGGGGGAAGTGAGCCGGCGCGCTCATGAAGCTCAGGAAGCGCGGATTCAGGATGCCGTTGCCTAGCATCCATCTGGCGAATCTCCGCTCTCTACCCAACAAAACGGACGAACTCCTTCTGCTCTCCCGGACAAATAAGGATTTTTCAAACTCTGCTGCTCTGTGTTTCACGGAAACCTGGCTGAAAGACGCGCCCGCGCCCTCACTCACAACTCTCTCAAGCCTCGTTCACTCCGCCGCGTCTCGCAGCGATCATTTTCAGAACAGGGACGCTAAACATTCTTGCAAACTGTCTAAACTGAATTATACATGTCATGCAGGCATTCATATGAGGAGTTTAACAGCAAATTAGTCATTCAAAGAACAAATTTTATTTTTGAACATGAAAAATGTACCGAG